ACCCGAGACCCGAGACGAGTCAATTATTTTCCCGTCGTCGTAGAAGCGTCGGTTATTTATTTAGAAGACCTATTTTCAGCATCATTTCTAACACGATACATACTTTAAAAGCTAATAACTCACAACCATATTACATTATGAATGGTCTTAGATCAATCATAAATACAAAAGAAATGTACCAAGAAAGAAATTAGCCAAAAGAAACAAATTACAGTTACATTCAATTACTGGCAAGTTCGTTTACACAATGGATTGTCTATTACTTTTTACTGAGATAGCACTGCAGTGACATAATAATTTGGTTACGGACTGATAGTCCGCTTAGAACTATGTAGTTACGTAAATTTTGTGGATGGAAGAATTCGAGAATTGAGTTCAAGATTCTATGAATATCACAGATTCTTTACAGTTAGTTGCAATAACTACATATGAAAATTAAACGTAGCCTTTACCGACTAGCATATATGAAAATACTGATGACTGTTCATGCAGCGAAAGAGGTGCTTATCTGAGAATCGTATCGGCGTTCCAGAGACTCTGCCTACCCCCATGAATGATGTTCCTTGTACTGCCTCATTGGCCGAGTGCTCGACAGTGCGACTGCCAGGCAAGGGGTCTCGGGTTCGAATCCTGGATCGGGTAAACGATTACTGGGTTGTGTCACACGAAGTCTGGAAGTGTGTCCAAAATATGGCAATAGGCTCACCCCCTATTACATGGGACTTATAACATAAATAGTGAAAAGTGGGTCTTACATTGTACAGTGGCATTAAGTGCCGCAATGTGCACATCTGTCTACTCCTTCGGGGATAACTGGTGTGATGTTATGTGTTATGTGTTCCTTATATTTGTGCCACTGACAACATGAACTATAAAATAGGTGACTTTATTTTCGAAACGTGACTGCTACTTCAGATAGGTACATTAATGTATGTCATCGTTACATGACATGTTGCTGACATGCTATTATTTCTAAGCTGTAACTGATCCAGTCGGTGAAAAGGTTATATATTGAAACAGTAAACTTCAATGTTTATTTATCTGTAGTTATATTATGAAAACACGACTTCAATAATAATAATTATGATGTCAGGACTAACGAGAATGATGTCCTGAGCTGTTTATCAAGTAAGTCAGCTTTTGATATTTGTAGTGATTCGACGACTTCGAGTTTAAACGTCATCACCGTCATCTGGTGAGTGCAAAAATCTCCAATAACTAGTTTCATCAATCAGAATATGCTACTGTCCTTTTTAAAGTCCAACAGCGTAAAGTTACATTTATATTCGACACTGTATTGTATCACGTTTACATTCAGTATTTTTATAAGGTACAATAAAAGACCTTGATACAAAAAGTGTAGTGGCTACTTTTGATACGTGACCACAATGTATACCATGCAACCACGGAGTAGTTAGAGAATGGAGTAATAATCTGAATATGGTAATGTTACGGCGCGTGAATAATATTCATAACAATAATTTACTGACTATATTATTGTATGAATATGAAATTTTACTATATTATGTCCTAAAATCTGTCTTAACACTGAAGAAATAGTAATTGTATAGTGTGTACTATAAAGTTTTTGAAATACTAAACTAATTGTTGTAAAATTGGTGAAGTTATAAAATTTACGGTTACCGGCGTTAAGGATTTGCTACAGGTAATCTCGATATCAGGTAACATACAGTATTGTTTTTGGCGAAATTGCTTGTTTTGCGTGATAATATTCGTGTTTACTACGTTGTCAGTTAATAAAATTCATTTATTAGTCCAATAAAGTTCAAAATATTAATAAACATAACCTATTTGAGGTTGATGACACAACTCCTTTGTCTATCAACTTAACTTATTTTAGTTTCCTTGACTAAATTACTTTAACTTTTCTTTTTCATATTCATATTATTAAAATTTCTTTTACTGTTTCTTCCTCTTAACTTCTTAACTTCTACAATGATTCTCACTCGGAAAGCCCATGCTCGCCAAGAGGAGTCTAAACTCAACCTGGCTTTGAGCGAATTAAAGGCATCAAAGGAGTTGTGTGATCAACTGTTGAAGGAGAGAGATGAGAATGAGAGGGAATTCTTAGATATTCTAAATAACAATAAGAAGCTGAAATCTGAAATGGCTCAGTTACATATTCAACACACTGAAGCCATTGAGACCCGGGATAGGCTCCAATTTGTTGTGGACGGATTCAGTCAATGTAGCAATGAGTATGAAAAGACATTACATGACAAAGCTCTATTAGAACAACAGCTACATGAGGCCAATAGTCAAATTAGTCATTTAGAAACAGTAAATCTTAATTTCACGGCCAGTCTGAATAACAATCTCTTCAGTGAGTTGGTGACAGCCCGTGCTTCTCAATCACAACATATAGACTTGAATCCAGTAACTATAGATTTAACTTATGATAGTAATTCTTGTCATTCTATTAAAACACTTTGTTGTAGTAATAAAAAATTAAAAAAATACATAAAAATTAATAAATACATAACTAAAACTAATAGACTAGTTAAAAGACAAAAGTTCTTTATAAAAAATGTAAAATTAAACAAAGAACGATTCCGGCTTCTAAACCAACTTAATACTTATTCTATTAAATTAAATCAACAGAATAGGAGATATGACACTGACACCCAAAACTTAAAATCAGAACTAGACCACTTAACATCAAAGTTGCACACCATGACCAATAAATATAGTGCATCTGAAAACCAAATGAGGGAATACATGTTGGCAATGAATGAGTTAGTGCGGTCACAGGAAAACCAGTGTGAGAAGTGTCATTCTGATGATGTACTGCCTGCTTGTTCTATGCCGGCATGTGATTCCACCCTACCTCAAGGTGCCAGTTCATTGATTCCTAGCCATTGTAACAGTACAAACAACAATAACATTGTAATCTTCAGTGATGAGATTGGGAAGAACTTAGGTTCTTTACTGACAAATATTTGTCCTGGACAATCAATAATGAATCACTGTATGCCCGGATATTCTTTTAGTAATATTTTGGAAAAAATTATCAATTATAGTTTTAAACAAGATTCTACCCTCATAATTATGTGTGGAAATAGAGGTAGTTTAAATAAAAAAAAATTATTGCAATTTTATAATTCACTTACAGAGCTTAAAATAAAGCAGATCATTTTGTTTACATTACCTTATAGTAATAGCTTGCCACAGGAAGAAAACAATTTAAGATTTAAACTAAATATTGCTATGTATAATTTATGTAATAATAGC